CGGGAGCAGAGGCAGGGCAGGGCAGGGTACTGGGCTGAGGGGGGACCGCTGGCTGGTTCTCGGCCTCCCCATCTCCCCGGGGTTCATCCTTACACATGAACGTTCTCGGCCGTGTTTCATCCAGCCGCCAGCATTAGCCGAGCGCCTGGAGTGGGGTTGGTTAAGTAGAGAGGCCTTGGGGGACTGTGTGAGAAGGGGACATGGGCGGGAAACGGAGGCAGTAAGGGGCGAGCCATCCGGGAATCAGTGGGAAGCGTGTTCCAGGCAGAGGGAACAGCCAGGGCAAAGGCCCTGAGGCGGCAGGAGTGTTGGAGGAACAGCAAGGAGTTCCAGGAGAGGGAGCGGCCAGTGCAATGTCCCCGAGGCAGGAGTTTGTCTGGGTGTTTAAGGAGCAGCGAGGAGTTCTGGGCAGAGGGAACAACCCCACGCAAAGGAGTGCACCTGGCCTGGGGGAGAGGAGGCCCCATCAGCCTTTCCACGTCTCCTTCCCCCACCAGGGCAAAGGCGCATGGGAGAAGACCCGGCTGGCCCTGGAGGCCGAGGTGTCCGAGCTGCGGGCGGAGCTGAGCAGCCTGCAGGCCACGCGCCAGGAGGGTGAGCAGCGGAGGCGTCGCCTGGAGTCACAGCTGCAGGAGGTGCAAGGCCGGGCTGGTGACGGGGAGAGGGCGCGCGTGGAGGCTGCCGAGAAGCTTCAGAGAGCCCAGGTGAGCGGGGTGGCCAGGGTGGGGGTCTCTGCTGTGTGGCCTTGGCTGACAGGCCTGCCCTCTCTGGGCTTCTGTCTGGTGCACACCAGCCCTGTCTTCCCATCCAGCTCTTCCAACATAACCATGCATGAATGACTGATACGTGGTGAGCAGTAAATATACACTAAACAATCTTCGTAGGAAAGGGCTAATAGTGTTCCCATTTTATACTCCAGGAAACTGAGGCCCAGAGCGGTCAAGTTGATCGCCTGAGGTCATTCAGAGCAGAAACTCAAACCCGGGCATGCCTGGCCCTTTAGCTTTTTTTTTTTTTTAATCCCCCGCCCCCTATTTTTTTAAAAGCCAGTCTCACTCTGTCGCCCAGGCTGCAATGCAGTGGCACGATTGCAGCCTCAACCTGCTGGGCTCAGGCGATCCTTCCGCCTCAGCCTCCCAAGTAACTGAAACCACAGGTGTGTACCACCACATCATGCTAATATTTTGGTTTATTGTAGAGACCATGTCTCGCCAAGTTGCCCGGGCTGGTCTCGAACTCCTAGGCTCAGGCAATCTTCTCACCTCAGCCTCTCAAAGTGCTGGGTTGACAGCCATGAGCCACACGCCTGGCCCCTTTGGCTCCCAACCCTGCCACAGCTCCACTCTCCACTCACTTCCACCTTTGACTAATTGGTGGGCTGATTAGAAAAGCTCAGTGTGAATCCGTGGAACTTGCAGGAAGGCAATATTATACGGTGGCTATTCAAAGAAAAGTGGGTTTTTTAAACTTCAATTTATTCTGTTTTTAACCAGATGACCTGTATGTGTTCATTACTGAGAATACAGACAAGCAAAAAGAACAAAGGGAAGAATGACTTCTATTTCCCAACCCCTCCAGGAGAAACCAATGTGACTACTTTTCATTTCCAGATTAAAACAACATGTTAATTAGGGTTAAGGTTAAGCTACTATGACAAAGAGACCCTAGGATTCATCAACTTAAATAAGACATGTCTTTCCCTCTCAAGAAATAGGCTTCAGGGAAAGCCCCAGCCAAGGCTGTTAGGACACTCAGCTCCATACAGTCACTCCAGATCCCATGGCTACGATGCAATCACATGACCAGAGCTTGATGCAAGGGGTGCTGGGAAATGTAGTCTCCAGCAGGCAGTCATGGACCTAGTCAATAGTCTGTCTCAGTGGGAGCAGGGAGGAATGGATTTTGGGGACACCTTAGAGTGTGACCCATAGGGAAACATACTACCTGGTGGTCACTGTCCTAAGTATTTTCCTTTTTTCTTTTCAAGTCGGAGTTTATTAGAAGATATAATAAGAGGGGACCCGAAAGTGGGTTGCCCAGTATTTTACATTTTACAAAAATAAAGTGACACCAAGGCCAGGTGCAGTGGCTCGTGCCTGTAATCCTAGCACTTAGGGAGGCCAAGGTGGGAGGATTGCTTGAGCCTAGGATTTCAAGACCAACATGGGCAACATGGTGAGAGCCCCCAGCTACAAAATCTATATATACACAGAGGATGCTAAAAAAAAATGTATGCTCATTTTTTTTTGAGTCGGAGTCTCACTCAGTGCCCAGGCTGGAGTGCAGTGGCACGCTCACGGCCACCGCATCCTCGGCCTGCTGGGCTCAGGCGATTCTCCTGCCTCAGCCTCCCAAGTAGCTGAAACCACGGGCACAAACCACCATGCCCGGCTAATTTTTTTATTTATTGTAGAGACAGGGTCCTACCAAGTTCCCCCAGGCTAGTCTCGAACCCCTGGGCTCAGGCAGTCCTCTCTTCTCTGCCTCCCAAAGTGCTGAGATGACAGGCGTGAGCCACCACGCCTGGCTTCAATTTTCTTATCAGCCAGAATATAAACCCAACCTTGTTCCCTAAGTGAACCCTGGAAAGAGAGAGGAGGCGGCCCAGGGTAAGGCACAAGTGCTAGAGGCTCCCATCCAACAAACATTAATGAGCACCTACTGTGTGCCAGGCCCTGTTGTGAGCCCTGGGGACACAGCGGGTAATAAAGCAGGTGAGATTCCTGCCCTTGTGGAGGCAACAGTCCAGAAAGTGGTGGGCAGCCATTTCCTACAGCAGAGAAACACGAGTAGCAACCCTACCCAGGATCATGGTGGGGGCGATTTTTGGTGGGGAGGGGTGGAGGGAAATAAAGAACAGCTTTGTTGATAACTCACATAGCATAGAATTCACCCATGGAAAGTATACAGTGCAGTGAATCGTAGTATGTTCACAGAGTTGTACAACCATCACTATAGTCTAATTTTAGGCCATTTTCACCAGTCCAAAATGAAATCCTACACCCTTTAATCATCTCCTAGTTCTGCCAGCTCTCTCACCCACCCCCGGCAACCACCAATCTACCTTCTCTCTCTACAGATTTCCTATTCTGCCTTAAACAAATGGAATCCTGTCGTATGTGCGTGACCTTGGTGACCGCATTCTTCTTTTTTTGGGGGGGGGGGTCAGAATCTCACTCTGTGGCCCAGGTTAGAGTGCAGTGGCATGCTCATGGGTACCACAGCCTCACCGCAGGTGATCCTTCTAATCTCAGCCTTCCAAGTAGCTGGAACTACAGGCACGTGCCACCACACCCAGCTGATTTTTGATTCATTGTAGAGATGAGGCATCGCCAAGTTGCTCAGGCTAGTCTCGAACCCCTGGACTCAGGCAGTCCTCTCTCCTCTGCATCCCAAAGTGCTGGGATTGTAGGCATGAGCCACCACGCCCAACCATTGACCGCTTTCTTTTATATAACATGATACCTCCAAGGTTCATCTGTGTTGCAGCATGTATCAGTGTGTTATTCCTTTCTTTTTCTTTTCTTTCTTTTTTACTTTAAAGATGTGGGGTACAGTTCAGCATTAGGTATATAAGTGGTCATCTTACAGGTAAAGTTTGGGCCTCCCTTTGGTCCCTGCTTTGCCTGGTTTGAGATCAGGTACCCTTATTGATGCAGTGTGTCGTTTCCACCCCCAGCAGTATCCCACTACTGCTAATCCCTTTCTTATAGTATTATGGTAAACATTCAGGGTCTTTCTTTTCCTTGAGTTGGGGTTTCACTCTGTCACTTAGACTGCAGTGCAGTGGCAGAGTCATGGCTCACCACAGCTTCAACCTCCTGGACTCAGGTGATCCTTCCACCTCAGCCTCCCAAGTAACTGAGATTACGGGTGTCCATCACTACACCCAGATACATTTTTTATTTTTTGTAGAGACAAGGTCTTGCTATGTTGCACAGGCTGATCATGAACTCCTGGGCTCAAGCAATCCTCCCACCTGGGCCTCCCAAAGCCCTGGGAATCCAGGCATGAGCCACCAAACCTGACATCATTCCTTTTTATTGCCAAGGAACACCTATTGTGTGAATAGACCACCTTTTCTTATTCTTTGCTTTTTTTTTTTGCTTTTTTTGCTTTTCTTTCCTTCCTTGCTCTTTCCCCAAGCCTGAGGTGCGGTGGCACAAACACAGCTACCACAGTCTCAACCTGCTGGGCTCAGGTGATCCTTCCACCTCAGCCTTCCAAGTATCTGGAGCTACAGGCACACACCACCACGCCTAGCTAATATTTTGATTTTTTTGTAGAGACGAGGTCTCACCAAATTGTCCAGGCTGGTCTTGAACTCCTGGACTCAGGCGATTCTCTTGCCTCGGCCTCCCAAAGTGCTGGGGTTACAAACATGAGCCACTGTCCCTGGTGACCGTGTTTTCTTTATCCATCCATCTGTCGATGGGCATTTGATTGTTCCCACCTCTTGGCGATTGTGAATAACGCTACTGCAAACATTCCCATGCAAGTTTCTGCATAGATGCATGCTTTCTTTGAGTTGGAGTCTCACTCCGTTGCCCTGGCTGGAGTGCAGTGGCACACTCACGGCCACCCCAGCATCGACCTGCTGGGCTCTGGTGATCCTTCCACCTCAGCCTCCAAGTAGCCGGAACTACAGGCACACACTACCACACCCGGCTAATTTTTTGATTTATTATAGAGACAAGGTCTTGCCATGTTGCCCAGGCTGGTCTTGAACCCCTGGACTCAGGCTGTCCTCTCTCCACTGCCTTCCAAAGTGCTGGGATTATAGACTTGAGCCACCACACCCGGCCTAAATGCATGTTTTCACCTCTCTCGGGTACACGCCTGGGAACGAAATTGCTGGGTCATAAGGAAACTCCATGTGTTAGCATTGGAGGAGGCGCCGGCCTGTGTTCCACCATCTGACACATCCGCCTGCCGTGTGTGGTCGGGGTTCGAGGAGCAGACGGGGTTGCTGGGTGGAGGCTGCGACCAGGGGGGCCTCACCCCGCTGCCCTTCCCCCACAGGCCGAGCTGGACAACGTGTCTGGGGCTCTGAGCGAGGCTGAGTCCAAAGCCATCCGGCTGAGCAAGGAGCTGAGCAGCACCGAAGCCCAGCTGCACGACTCCCAGGTGACCCCAGTCCGCCCTCTGGCCCCCCACCCCCCCACCCCTGCATGTCCTTGTCCACACCTGACCCCGCTGTCCCCTCCGCCCACAGGAGCTGCTGCAGGAGGAGACCCGGGCGAAGCTGGCCCTGGGGTCCCGGGTGCGAGCCCTGGAGGCCGAGGCCACGGGGCTACGGGAGCAGCTGGAAGAGGAGGCGGCCGCCAGGGAGCGGGCGGGCCGCGAGCTGCAGACCGTACAGGCCCAGGTGAGCTGCCCCGAGTGGGACCCGCAGGGAGGCTCGGTCCCTAGGCTGCTCCTCCTGGGGCCCCGGGCTTGGGGAAGGCCCCGCTGTCCACCTCAACATAGGCCAGACCCCAGGCGCTGTTCTCGCCTCCCGATTCTCCCTTGCTCCAGCCCTGGCCCACCTGCCCCCTGGGTCTCTGCTTCTTGCTCTCCGTCCACACTACCCTCCCTCAGCTCAGGTCCCATCCTCACCCACCTGGATCCTCCCACCTGGATCCTCCCCACAGCCTCCCAGCCCCCAGTCTCTCCCCTTCCAGCTCCACACGGCCCCGGAAGGCTCTTTCTACACCTGGAGCTGACCTTCCCCTTGGACTGCTCACAGCCCTCCCGTGGCTCCCCAGCACCCCTGGACCAAGCCCACACCTCTTAGCTGGGCACCCGAGGCCAGGCGTTCTCTGGTCCTTCCTCCGTCTTTTCCTTCATTCGTCTCTGCCTCCCCGTTTGTGGGATGCACCCTTTTATTCCTCTGGATTTAGTGTCCGCCTTCCCTGCTGTTGGAGGATTTTCCCGATCGCCTTTCTCCTCCTCCATCCCAACTCCGGTCACCTTAGGCTGGGCTGTCTCTGCCTGTGAGTCTCCCCCCCAGACTGAGAACCCCCTCAAAGGAGAACTCCATCACAGTTAGACCTGGGCCCACAGCACAACATGGAGCCCAGCGGGTGGTAGGCCTTGAGAAATGCCTGTGGAATGAATGGATGATGGCTCATGCCTGAGGATAGCCTTCAGTTGGCAAACTCCTACGCAAACCTCAAGACCCATCTCAGAGGCTCCTCCTCCTTCAGGAAGTCTCTCCTGAACGTTCTGAACAGATTCTGAGCCCTTCCTGTGGACTTCTATATACTTCTTTTACCTTAGCCTCTATCACCCTGGCTGTGATGCTTCTCTCCTCTATCAGACCGGGGGTTCCCAGACTCCAGGTCTAATTCATCTCTGGGTCCCAGGGGGGAAATTTTCATTTGTGAGCTAGGGCTCACAGTACTCACACCCTCAACCCCACTCAGGAAGAAGAGCCCAGTGGCGACTCCTTTCCTTCTTTTTTTTTGAGTGGGAGTCTCACTCTGTCGCCCAGACTGGAGTGCCGTGGCCGCTCCCGGCCACCGCAGCCTCGGCCTGCTGGGCTCCGGCAATCCTTCCCCCTCAGCCTTCCAAGTAGCTGGACCGACAGGTGCGTGCCACCAAGTCCAGCTGATTTTTTGACTTATTGCAGAGATGAAGTCTCGCCAAGTTGCCCAGGCGGGTCTCAAACCCACGGGCTCAGGCCGTCCGCTCACCTCGGCCTCCCAAGTGCTGGGAGGACAGGCCGAGCCGCTGTGCCCAGCCTCTTTTCCCTCTTCAGGCCTCAGTCTCCTCATCTTGGAAATGGAGCACCCCCAGGCGAGCCCCCGGGTCCCTCACGGCCATGACCGCCACCCGCCCTCTCGTCTCTCCTCCCCTCAGCTCTCAGAGTGGCGGCGGCGTCAGGAGGAGGAGGCGGGGGCACTGGAGGCAGGGGAGGAGGCTCGGCGCCGCACAGCCCGCGAGGCCGAGGCCCTGACCCAGCGCCTGGCCGAAAAGACGGAGGCGGTGGACCGGCTGGAGCGAGGCCGCCGCCGGCTGCAGCAAGAGCTGGACGACGCCACCGTGGACTTGGAGCAGCAGCGGCAGCTCGTGGGCGCGCTGGAGAAGAAGCAGCGCAAGTTTGACCAGGTAGGGCACCTCAGTTTACCCAGCCAGGGAGTCGGTGATCCTCACACCCCTCATCCCAGCCCTTTGGGAGGCTGAGATAGGAGGATCGCTTGAGGTCAGGGTCTCTCAAAGAGCAGCTTTTAATTTTGATGAAATTTGGTTGATCAGCTGGGCACGGGGCTCACGCCTGTGATCCCAGCACTCTGGGAGGCAGAGTCAAGAGAACTGCCTGAGTCCGGGAGTTCGAGACCAGCCTGGGCAACTTGGTGAGACCTCGTCTCTGCAATAAATCCAAAAATGAGCCAGGTGTGGTAGTGTACACTTACAGTTCCAGCTACTTGGAAAGTTGAGGTTGCATGTGCCACGGCATGCCAGCCTGGGCAATAGAGCGAGACTCCAATTCAAAAAAAAAAAGTAGATCATTAAAGCTAGCCTATTAAGAGAATAATAACAACTGGGTGTGGTGGCTCACACCTGTAATTCCAGCACTTTGGGAGGCTAAGGTGGGAGGACTGCTTGAGCCCAGGAGTCTGATACCAGCCTGGGCAACAGAACGAGACCTCATCTCTACAATAAATCAAAAAATTAACCAGGCGTCATGGTGCACACCTGTGGCTCCAGCTACTTGGAAGTCTGAGGTGGAAGGATCGCCAGAGCCCAGCAGGTTGAGGCTGTGGTGGCCGGAAGCGTGCCACTGCACTCCAGCCTGGGCAACAGTGAGACTCCTACTCAAAAAAAAAAAATTCGGTTTATCAACTTGTTATTTTATGAATTGTGCTTTTGGTATTGTATATAAGAAATCTAGGCCGGGCAGGTGGCTCACTTTGGGAGCCCGAGGTAGAAGGGTCGCTTAAGCCCAGAAGTTCAAGACCAGGCTGGGCAATATAGTGAGACCTGGACTCTACAAAAAATTTAAAAATTAGCTGGGTGTGGTGATGCCTGCCTGTAGTCCCAGCTACTCGGGAGACTGAAGTGGGAGGATCACCTGAACCCAGGAAGTTGAGGCTGCCGTAAGCTGTGATCGTGCCACTGCACTCCAGCCAGGATGACAGAGTGAGACTCCAACTCAAACAACAACAAAAGAAACCTTTGCTTAACTCAAAATCATAAAGATTTTCTCCTGTTTTTTTTCCTGGAAGTTTTTCAGTTTTCGGTTCACATTTAGATCTATAATCTACGTTGAGTTAATTTTTATATATGATACTGTCATGGCTCCAAGTTGGTTTTTGTGAATGTAGTTATCCACTTGTTCCAACACCAGCTGTTCTTCACTGACTTGTTTTTGCATAAATATTGAAAATCAGGCCAGGCGTGGTGGCTCATGCCTATAATCCCTGCATTTTGGGAGGCTGAGGTGAGAGGACTGCCTGAGCCTGTGAATTCAAAACCAGCCTGGACAACTTGGTGAGACCTTGTCTCTACAATAAATCAAAATTAGCCAGGCATGGTGGCACGTTCCTGTAGTTCCAGCTATTCCAGCTACTTGGAAGGCTGAGGTGAAAGGATCACCTGAGCCCGGTAGGTCAAGGCTGCAGTGACTGTGAGTGTGCCACTGTACTCCAGCCTGGGTGACAGAGTGAGACTGACTCAAAAAAAAAAAAAGAAAGAAAGAAAAAGAAAAGCAAATCAGATAGTGTTCATCCTTTTTCTTCTTTTAAAGTTGTTTTGCCCTTTCTGGGTCCTTTGCATATCCATATGTATTTCAGAATCAGTTCATCAATTTCTACCCCAAAAAAAGCCTCCTGATTTGGGACTGTGTTGAATGTATAGGTCAGTTTGGGAAGAATTGACATCTTAATAATATGGAGTTTTCTAGGCCATCTATGGTGGCTCATGCCTATAATCACAACACTCTGGGAGACCAAGGAGTTTGAGACCAGCCTGGTCAACATAGCAAGGCTTATCGCTACAAAATTTTTAAAAATATCCAGGTGTGATGGCACATGCCTGTGGTCTCAGCAACCCGGGAGGCTGAGACAGCAGGATCACCTGAACCCAGGAGGTTGAGGTTTCAGTGAGCCACGATTGTGCCACTACATTCCAACCTGGGTAACAGAGTGAGACCCTGACTCAAATAATAATAATATTGAGTTTCCTGGGTAAGGAACATGGTATCTATGTCCACTTATTTAAATCACATCTTTTTATTTATATTTTTTTGAGTTGGAATCTCATTCTGTCGCCCAGGCTAGAAAGCAGTGGCAGGCACACTCACAGCCACCCCATCATCGACGTCCTGGGCTCTGGCAATCATTCTGCCGCAGTCTTCCAAGTAACTGGAACTACAGGTGCATGCTACCATGCCCGGACAATTTTTTATTTATTGTAGAGATGAGGTCTCATCAAGTTGCCCAGGCTAGTCTCGAGCCTGCGGGTCAGGCAATCCACTTACCTTGGCCTCCCAGTGCTGGGATTAGAGGTTGAACCACTGAGTCTGGTCTGGATCACATCTTTTGTCAAATTTATTTCTTTGTATTTTTTTTATTTTAATGCTATTTTTTTTTCGATTTTTTTCTTGCTAGTATATAGAAATACATCAGATTTTTGTATATTGATCTTATATCCTACGATCTTGGCTAAACTCACTTATTAGTGCTAGCAGTTTTTTTTGTTTTTTTTTTTGAGTTGGAGTTCTCGTGCTGTCACCCAGGCTAGAGTGCAGTGGCATGCTCATGGCCACCGCAGCCTTGACCTGCTGGGCTCAGGCGATCCTTCTGCCTTAGCCTTCCAAATAGCTAGAACGACAGGTGCATGCCACCAAGTCCAGCTGATTTTTTGACTTATTGTAGAGATGAAGTCTCGCCAAGTTTCCTGGGCTGGTCTCGAACCCATGGGTTCAGGCAGTCCTCTCACCTCAGCCTCCCAAATTGCTGGGATTACAGGCGTGAGCCACTGTGCCTGGCCTACTCGTAGATGTTTTATAGATTTCATTGGATTTTCTACATAGATGACTTTATTTTCTATGAATGAAGACTGTTTGACATCTTCCTTTACTCTTTACTTTTCTTCTGGGATTCCACATACATGTATGTTTTATCACTTCGTACTCTCTTGTGGATTGTTAAAGCTCTGTTGGTTTTTTCATGATCTCCTTTCTTTGCTCTGTTTTGAGTAATTTCTATTGTTTTCAAGTTTCCTGATTCTTCTGATGTGTCCAGTCTGCTCTTAGTTTCATCCACTGACTTTTTTTTTTTTTTTTTGAGTTGGAGTCTCACTCTGTCGCCCAGACTGAAGTGCAGTGGCCGCTCACGGCCACCGCAGCCTCGACCTGCTGGGCTCTGGCCGTCCTTCCGCCTCAGCCTTCCAAGTAGCTGGAACTACAGGCACGCGCTACCACGCCTGGCTAATTTTTTGATTTATTATCGAGATGAGGTCTCGCTGCCCAGGTGGGTCTCGAACCTGCGGGCTCAGGCAATCCACTCACCTCAGCCTCCCAAAGGCATGGGATTACAGGCTGAGCCACCAAGCCCGGCTCATCCACTGACTTTTTAACTTCACATATTATGTGTCTCAGTTCTGGCATTCCTACGTGGTTCTGTCTTACCATCTCTTTTTTTTTTTTGAGTTGGAGTCTCACTCTGTTGCCCAGACTGGAGTGCAG